GGGGGAGGGGCCGCGACCGCTGGGAGCTTGGGGCCGCGGGAGGGAGGGCTGAGGCCACCGCGGCACTTACCCTTCGGGGTTCGGCGCCCGTCGGTTCCCGGAGGGGAGGGAGAGAGAAGAGGAGGGACGGGGCCGGTGGCCGGAGTCTTCGTGGCGCAGGCTTTTCTGCTTTGCAGCGGCGGCAAGTGGCGCCAAAACCCAGACTCCACCCACTTCCTCGCCCCCGGGAGTGGGTGCTTCCTACCACTGGGAGGAGGTGGAGACAGACTTGGGGGTGAAGGGAGAATTGGGAGCTGAGCAGTGTGCCCCTCCTGGAAGACCGCTCTCCTGAGCACGAGGCGCTGGCCCGAAGGACGTAATCTGGGTTATTTCAGTGGAGTGTGACAGTTTTGTTGACTAAAATTGCTTCGGGTGTTTCCGGAAGGAGCCGAGTGTGTTCTGCTGCGGGAGGGGGTTCAAGAGGAAAAAACCAAAGCAGACAGGCGACCCAAGGTTTTTATGGTGGGAGAACCCGCGGGGATTAGCAAAGGCGCTGCGACAGGTTTCGCGGCAGATAAAGCTCCTCCAGACGGCGTTCATTTCAAACTGCGCGACCGTTTCTCACCTGCCCTGCGCTAAGGCGGGGCCTGGGCCCGATTCTGAGACAGCCCTCTTACGCTGATCTCGCGCCTTCCGCAATTCACTAAGCCTCATTTACGCCAGTGACGTCAGTCGCCGCAGCTATCCGCCAGCAGGGGGAGGGGCACGCATTTTGCGTAGGGCGGGCGTAGAGTGTTCCCGCCTTTGGCGGCAGTTAGGACGTTTACGCAACGGCTTGACGCAAGAGGAGACGCGTTAGTCGGAGGGAAGGTTCTAGAAAAGCGGCGGCAGCGGCTCTAGCGGCAGAAGCAGCAGCGCCGGGTCCCGTGCGGACGCCCTCCTTGCGGTGTTGTTTCTTGAGCTGCGGCAGCTCTCACTACAGCGCCAGGACGAGTCCGGTTCGTGTTCGTCCGCGGAGATCTTTCTCATCTCGCTCGGCTGCGGGAAATCGGGCTGAAGCGACTGAGTCCGCGATGGAGGTAACGGGTTTGAAATCAATGAGTTATTGGAACGGGCATGGCGAGGCCGTTGGCGCCTCCATGGAAGTTGGCCACCGTCCCCGGGAGCGTGGCGGGGCAGTTGGGCCGCTCCCGCAGCGGTTGGTGTGGAGGTGTTTTCCCCGCGGGGGCGGGTGTTGTGCGGAGGCCTGATTGATTGTACCCGGCACCTTCCTCCACCTTCGGGCTGCCGGCGCCATTTCCTTTTGCTGGGGTGGGGGATGGGGGAGCCTCCACATGGCGGACGCAGCCCCGCGTTAGGGGAAGCAGCGCAGACGCGGGGACTCCCGGTTCCCTCGTGAAAACGGGGCAGTTGGGGGGCCCGGCGGCCCGGCTTTGGAACGTTCCCGAGGGCCTTGGTGGGGGCCCCCTTGAAGGCTGGGAGGCTTCCCCTCCCCCTCTCCCGGGAACCGGATTTGGCGGCCGCCATTTTCGTTCTTCTCCTGGCACGCTGCGTCGTCCTTTTCCCTGGCTAAGTCGCATCGCTGCGGCACTTTGGCCGGAGAGCAGGCGGGGGGACGGTCCCGGATGCTGCTGGGCTCGTTTGAGCGGCGTTCGGCGGCGGGAATCTTTGAAGGCCTGCGCAGCTCGCGCCCGGCGCCCGGCCTGGCCCTCGACGAAATGGCGCCATGGCGCTGGAGGCGCCGGGGGGAGGGGCCGGGTCCCGCGGGACCGTTTCCGCGGAGCCCAACAGCCGAGGGCCCGAAGGGCGGCCATAGCACAAAGAGACCATTTTGTTCGCCCACTTGCTGGGAGTAACGGGTTTGTTTTTTTTTTAGGGCGGCAGTGATTAGAAGCCGGGTAAACGCAGAGAGCTTTTAAAGAGAAACTAAACGTGGTGCCTTCAGATGAGCTCGAATCTGCGTGCTGGGGCGGGCGCGGCAAGGGGGCGCTCTGAGAATTTGGTGGGGATATCTTAACAGCCCTTCCCTGTCCTGCGGGGTCGCCGATTAAGTAGGGTGGTTTTTTCTTTCTTTTTTTATTAGTATTTCCTCTGATAAAAATCCTGGGCGGTTGACTCCTCCCTGCAGAAAGATGGGGATCTTTCTCAACGACAAGGCTGGGAGCTCAGTAAATGAAATCGAAATAAATGACGGGTTTTAGAGGTGTTTCAGGCCTAGGGCGTGATGTCTTTGAACTTTGTCACTTTCCTCATTTCTGTTTGCAATCATGGTTGATCATTACTTTGATAAAGCTTAAGGTCTCAAGCGAAGGGGGTTTACCTGATAATTTTGTGTGTCCCTAAAGCACGCTTATTAAATAACTTTGCTTAAAATCTGTAGTGGACAATCAGGTAAGTCTGGAAAATATGACGAGGTAAGTAGATTTTGGCCTTTGTAGTAGTGTTTTTTTTAAAGAATGTAGATATATTTTTTACTTTACATTTCCGTGATTTATTTGGGTGGTTTAAATATATTAAGCATTAGTTTAATTTCAGAACCTTGAAAATAGCCAACTATATGGGGGGCATCCTTACACTTAAGCTGAGCTCTTAATTACTAGGTACTGCCTTCTTGAGAAACTTGCATTGAACTGCTGGTTGAACAATAATACTTGGGGAATAAAATGCTTATTTGAATTATCTTTTACGTTTTGATAGTTGACTGTTTAAATGACCTATTCTGGTTTATTTTTAGAAAAGAAAAAAAAAAGGCATTACCTGGAGTTAGCTTTAATGACCTAGCCTTTAATCAACCAAAGAAAGGGGCTGTTTGCTTGCAGGTGTTAAGATTTCATCTCAACCCCATCCCCCAATTTAAGGCACTTCAATGGTGTGTAGTTTGCCAGATGCTAGATGACCATTAATTTGGTAGGGCGTTAGGCTTTTCTTTGGAGTCAGTGTTTTATAAATTTGCTACTTTGTTCAGATAGCATTTTTTAAATTGCAAAATGTGAAGCAAAACACTACTAGCATCTTGCTGTATAATTTAGTGGCATTAATCACTTAAACATGAGCAACCGTTGTTTACCACCCATTTCCAAGTGGACGTTTTTGATGTTTTTAGATGTAAAGTTTATATGCGATGAATTTTGTAATGGGGTGTACTGGTGATTTGATGGCTTATGTACTGTCATCTAAATACAAAAGATTCTTGTCCCACCCCCACCCCACCCCGGGTTATTAGCCTTTTTGCTATAGATAACAGGTTTAAAAACAGTTTGCCTTGGTTGCAAGGGATAATTTTTGGCCCTGACTATCTGGAACATTTCGTGTCTCTACCCCCTCCTCCCAGTTGATACATAAGGGAAACTGTTACACCCCTGAGGTTCATTAGAACTACCACTAGAGGGGGCAGTTAAGGGAGAATAATTGCTTCAAATATTGATTCTGAAATACATAGAAGAGTGGGTTTTAATAAGCCAGTGTTATTTTTGAACTTCAAGAGCTTTAGTAACAGATTACTTGAAAGCTACAAGTTTTATGTTGCATAGGCTTGATTGACCGACATTTCCCATCACTGTTCAGTGGCCACAGAGCACTAAATACTTTGTAGAAAGCTTTTAAGTAATTGTATTTTGTTGAAGTTAGTTTTGTTAAGTGTAGAACAAACTTTAATGACTTTAAGTAGTTCAACTGAGACAATTTTTGGTGTAACACAACTAATATGCAGTTTTAACATATGGTTTAAATTTGATGTAAGTTTTTTTTCTCCCCCCCCAGAGAACTTTAGAAACTGTTCCTTTGGAGAGGAAAAAGGTACTCTGCCAGCAGGTCACCTCATATTTAACAATTTTATTTCCTGTATACAGAGAGAAAATATAAATAAAAATTGAAATGGTGCTTTCCATTGCAGAGAGAAAAGGAACAGTTTCGTAAACTCTTCATTGGTGGCTTAAGCTTTGAAACCACAGAAGAAAGCTTGAGGAACTACTACGAGCAATGGGGAAAACTTACAGACTGTGTGGTAGGTTAACTATGGAAGTCTAACTAGAAATACTAGATGTTTGGCTTCTGACTGAAGGGTTTAAACAAATAATGGAGAAATAAATCATAGTTTTAAAATGCTACGTTATTTATAGTGTGTATAGTTCAAGCTAAAAAAGATTTAATGCTGAACTTACCTATTTGGTTTTAAAGGTAATGAGAGATCCTGCAAGCAAAAGATCAAGAGGATTTGGTTTTGTGACTTTTTCATCCATGGCTGAGGTTGATGCTGCCATGGCTGCAAGACCCCATTCAATTGATGGGCGAGTGGTTGAACCCAAACGTGCGGTGGCAAGAGAGGTGAGCAAAAGCAATTCATGCAAGAAACATGAAGAAAATGTCTCAGGAAATAGAATTCTCGAGCGAATTTCATATCCAACTATAAATTTCCTTATTGCTATGGTGGCTATCTGAATTTTTGCCCCTAGGTTAAAATTGATCTATCTTTGTTCCCCACCAACTAGGCTGTTATTAGACTGCATGCTTGTAAATTATGCTTGTGGTTTCTTCTGTGATTTCTTACTTTAGGAATCTGGAAAACCAGGGGCTCATGTAACTGTGAAGAAGCTGTTTGTTGGTGGAATTAAAGAAGATACTGAGGAACATCACCTTAGAGATTACTTTGAGGAATATGGAAAAATTGATACCATTGAGATAATTACTGACAGACAGTCTGGAAAGAAAAGAGGCTTTGGTTTTGTTACTTTTGATGACCATGATCCTGTGGATAAAATCGTGTGTAAGTATCTTTAGGAAGACACTAGATTGGTATCTTAAGACAACTCGTTTTGGATATATAAGCAGCAGTTAGCTACTTTAATGAAGTTAATATTAGGACATATACTTAAGTAATTATCATTTGGTTACTTTCATTTGCTGCTGCTCTGAGTGTATGAACTTTTTCATTTCAGTGCAGAAATACCACACCATCAATGGTCATAATGCAGAAGTAAGAAAGGCATTGTCTAGACAAGAAATGCAGGAGGTCCAAAGTTCTAGGAGTGGAAGAGGAGGTAACTTTTTAAGCCCACTTTTTTTTATGTATTTAGGTGGGCAGTCCTAGTTGTGTGTGTAGTGCATTATGAGTTGGGCTACTGCTAACGAACTATGAAGTTGGTAGTTTGAAACCGCCAGCTGCTCTAAGGGCGAAAGATTGGGCTTTTTAATCCTGTAATATATCAAACCTACATGGGCAGTTCTACCCTGTCTTGCAGGGTCACTATGAATTGTAATCCGCTCGATGGCAGTGAGCTTGTCTTTAATGCATTCGTGCATATGCTTGTTATTAATCAGGGCATTTGTTGTTGTAGGCAACTTTGGTTTCGGGGATTCACGTGGTGGTGGAGGAAATTTTGGACCTGGACCAGGAAGTAACTTCAGAGGAGGATCTGGTAAGCTTAAGTACTGAGTATATTTTACAGGTTTTAGTATGTCTTTAGCATTAAACTTAACTAATGCCCTAGGGATAGGCAGTATTCTTGATAATTTACTTTCAAAGTTCCATGCATTTGTTCTTATGAATATATGGATGCAACTGTTACTTAGAAGAATAGGGTTCTGATTATTAATCTTACACCAGAATGCTAGTAGAAACTTGTAGAAGTGCTAGAAAGTTAGTGAGATAACACCATCTTTCTTGTTTCTTCGGCTATGTACAGATGGATATGGAAGTGGTCGTGGATTTGGTGATGGCTATAATGGGTATGGAGGAGGACCTGGAGGTAAGCTTCTTCCTATACTTAGGTTTGTGTGGTGTGACTGGGATTTAGTCACGTAAAATAATTGCATTTTGCCATACTAAGTAGGTTTAGTATAATGTGAAAGCTATTGGATGGCATTTAAATGAGAAATTAGAGATGCTGTCATGTCCTGAAAGTGTTGGATCTGGATTTCATTGGCTGAGATCATCATAAGGAGAGGTACATGAACAATTGTAATTTAGTTGCATCCCCCCCCCCTCCCCCCCAGGCTAACATCATAAATTTACCTGAGGAACATTAAAACATTATGAAGTATATTGGCTGCTAATATTATTAAGAGCTGGCGATACATTAAATGTGTCCTTTATACTTGCTTAGATAACTTAAAGGATAGTGCTGATATAGTCGTAACCCCTGTTTTTGGTTTCCTCTTGGCATTACTGAATAGATTTTTTCATATATCACTGTTTCTTTTTTTAAAATTTTTATTTCTTTATATCACTGTAAACTTTGCTTTGAAATTGGAATTTTCATTTTGCTTTATGAGAAAGTGGATTACTTTAGGAATTTCTGCGAGTTATTTGAGACTTAGAAGGGGGTAGTGGCCATATTACTTTAAGGAAATTATCTACTTCCTGGGGAAGTGTCACAATGGGTGTTTTTTGACCCATCAGAAGAATGTATCGTTTCCACTCCATCCCAATACTCCACCACCCACCACTTGTACGTAAAACATCTGGTGTTGACAGAACAGGCATAGAGGTATTTTATCTACTTGGTTGTGGAAAGGGATTGTTAGCTTGCTCTTCAATGTTCACCAAAAATAGGCACTTTTACCCTTTGAGGTTATAGTAGGATGGAAGTTTGACTTAATAGAAATGTGTTTTCGAAAGCTGGAAATGGGTGATAAGACAGTTCAAATGGCATTGAAAATATTAAGTAATTACTTAAAGGCTTATTTTATAATATAGGTGGCAATTTTGGAGGTAGCCCTGGTTATGGAGGAGGAAGAGGAGGATATGGTGGTGGAGGACCTGGATATGGCAACCAGGGTGGGGGCTACGGAGGTGGTTATGACAACTATGGAGGAGGTAATAAATTCACCTGCAACCTTTATGTGGGAGTTGGATTTGGAATTAATGGCTTTTAACACTTGAGATTTTTCATTGTACTGTTGTCAGTAGTTGCCTGGTAGCTAGGTATGTCAATTGTTGGGTTGCCTTTTTTTTTTTTTTTGGTGTGGGAAATTTGCCCTGAAATATTTAGCATGTATCAGTGATTTAATAATGTTGGCTCCTCCACCTCAGGTCCATTATGCTAATCTATTACGACAATTTTTTCCCCCCAGGAAATTATGGAAGTGGAAATTACAATGACTTTGGAAATTATAGCCAGCAACCATCTAACTACGGTCCAATGAAGAGTGGAAACTTTGGGGGTAGCAGGAACATGGGTGGACCATATGGTGGAGGTAATTTATGATTACAAATAGGATTCCACAATTTTTGTATAAAGTCTTGTGGGACAGAAAATGCCATTATCTTACAACCCCAATATTTCCCCAACCTTTTGAATTCCCCTTACATTAAGGTTTTGGTCACTTAAAATCCACAGTTTTTACTGTGTAATTTGGATGTTGTATGAACAACATATTAAATCTTTATTGGGAGCCCAATTTCAGTTGCCCTTGATGCCACCAGCAAGAGTGATAAACAGGTTGCTGTTAGAGCTCAAACACTTGATTTATTTTAATCACTGCTGTATCAAGGCTAGGAGACTCCATATACGTATATTTGGGTACTAGTCCAGTGGGATACAGTATCGTTGAAACAAAATTGGCTGAAACTTTGCAGAATTGTAAATAGTGTTGGCAATCGGATTGAGAGGTTGGGGCAGGTGTTTGGTATTTTAAGGTACTTTGAAGTTGGGAAGGTATTTCAGGAGCACACCTCCCACCCTTTGTTGGTTGGTTATTAGGAGAATAGCCAAGTGTGAAGGTAAATCTAAACTGATATTGAAAAACTTGGTTTTACTGGAATTGACTAGATTTTTTATCTTTTTGGTAGTGCCACTTACTTGAATCACATCTTATATGGGAGAGGCTCTTTTAAAAGTGCAAACAATAGTTAAAATGTCTTTAGAGAAGAATTATAGTTTGTGTTTGTATTGGAGACCATGGGAGGTGGTTTGCTTGTTTTAGGCCAGTCACAGGACATCAGAGTGTAAGCTTACTTTCTTTTTGCTATTTCAACAATTCTAGGAAACTATGGTCCAGGAGGCAGTGGAGGAAGTGGGGGTTATGGAGGGAGGAGCCGATATTGAGCTTCTTCCTATTTGCCATGGGTAAGTAGCTTTTGAGTTTTAAAATTAATTATCTTGGGAGAACTAGCTGCAGGTGTAAAAGCTTTTTAGGATGTTAATCTTTCCTTAAAATCTGGTTAGATGGATAATTTCATAACCTATTTTTTTTTTACTCTTTACTTCTGTTGAAACAGGCTTCACTGTATAAATAGGAGAGGATGAGAGCCCAGAGGTAACAGAACAGCTTCAGGTTATCGAAATAACAATGTTAAGGAAACTCTTATCTCAGTCATGCATAAATATGCAGTGATATGGCAGAAGACACACCAGAGCAGATGCAGAGAGCCATTTTGTGAATGGATTGGATTATTTAATAACATACCTTACTGTGGAGGAAGGATTGTAAAAAATGCCTTTGAGACAGTTTCTTAGCTTTTTAATTGTTGTTTCTTTCTAGTGGTCTTTGTAAGAGTGTAGAAGCATTCCTTCTTTGATAATGTTAAATTTGTAAGTTTCAGGTGACATGTGAAACCTTTTTTAAGATTTTTCTCAAAGTTTTGAAAAGCTATTAGCCAGGATCATGGTGTAATAAGACATAACGTTTTCCTTTAAAAATTTAAGTGCGTGTGTAGAGTTAAGAAGCTGTTGTACATTTATGATTTAATAAAATAATTCTAAAGGAAATTGTGTAATTATAGACTTTTTATTTTAAATAAGTTAAGGAGTGGGTAGTATAATTAAGGTCCATTACAAAGTTGTTGTTATGTATGTATTAAGATAAAATGCTGGTCAGATATAAGTGTGTTGTCTGCGATTCATCAGGATTAAATGATCTAGATAACAAGGGATATCTCTGCAAGGAGAAACACCTTTTTAGATCTTTTAGATGCTGCTTCTTCAATGCAAGGAAAGGAAATTACCCCAGCGAGGTACTCTTCAGGGACACAGGTCTAGTACAAGAGAACTCTTGACGGCTACTAAGTTCAGCCAGTCTTAACAAACTGTGCTGTTTCTGCAAAGTTTAACTACAGTAGTTTATAAGGATGTCAACGAAAGCTGAGGGTGTAGAGCAAAGTAGTTCTAAGCTTCAGTTAAACTTCTTTTAGGTAAGATCTTATTTACTTTTCCTTTCATAATTTTCCTCCCCAAAAGATAAACTAATACTCTTATATGGTCTGTTTCAGTATAGTGGTTTTTATGTAGTTTAACATAGCTACAAATAAATTTGAGTTTAACAATTTATAAACTCAAGAGAATACTTTTGTTAAAAAAACAACAAAAAAAACAACAACCCTGTTTTCCAATCTGTCATTTACTTAAATTATTTTGGTTGTGTTTTCCCTTTTTTCCTTCTTTCCCACCCCCCTCCCCCACCCCCCCAATGAAGATTCAGGTGCTTAACATATCATTTTTTTCCCTGCTGGAATTTTAGCCTTGATATGAACCATGGACAAGTATATTCTGCTGCCACAAAGACTAAAGTTCTTCATTTCAACAGCTGAGGCAAGCCAAGTGATCATTAATAAGCTTTTCTTGGTTCCTTCAGTGGTGTTGGTAGTAAAATGGTAGGTAAAAGTCAGGCTGCAATACAAGTTCGATACATCATGACATTTTTCCATCGTTACAACCTTGTGAATTCACATTTCTCGGACCAAGCATGGGTTTTTATTATTGATCTTCTGTTACTTACTATGGTTGTTTTAGCTTTACCTGATAGGCTTAAAGAAGGAAGGGCAAAATGGTTGTATAGCTCTGGGTGTACCTGTGGTATAATCTGACCCATTTACCCTACACTGTAAGATGGAGAGGAGGTTGCTAGAATTCATTTCTTAAAACTAAATGTCTTCAAGGGATTGACTTTTTACCTGGCTTTACTGCCTTTTCAAGAACATGACAGGGCATATTCTACTGTAGTCACCAGTGAGTCTTCTTTTGATCCCAAGACCACCACTGAAGTTATAGGTTCTTTAAAGCAACATGATAAACTTCTTCAGATACTTTTTTTTTCCTTTGGCAGGAAGGTGTCTTGCTGCAGGTAACTAATGAAGAAGTGGTCAACCACAGAATCTTCAAGAACTAAGAAATTCTGTACCATCTGAAAGTAGTTCTTGTTGGTGCCTTCTTTTTTAAAAGCACTTTTTAAAGGGAAATGTTTTCTGATAAAACATTTTATTTTAGTCCAGGTTCTTAAAACAATTCAAATTGAGTATTGTTTGTAAAACAGAAGATCAGTCAGAGAAATGTACCATGTTTTAAATTAGGCTTTTGTGAGTAGACAGATTAATTCTATTTTGAATACAAAGTTTATGAAATAAATACTTTTGTATCTAAATACGTGGTGTAATGTTTACACACAAAATGTGAATCTTGTTCTCTGAACATGCAGGCTGCCATTCCTTTAAAATTTACAATTTAACAAATCTATGCATATTGCCATTCTTAATTTTCTTTTGATACTAATAGACAAATGAGAAACTTTGATCATAACTGGCTGTCCCCAATAAAATGCCATTCCTTATCCTCCTGTATATTTCAGCGTTTGACTACTGCTGTATTTTTCTGGCTTTATCTTGTATGCTTACCATTGCTGGTTGGTCTTTTTTTTAAAGCTAGGCACTGAAGTCTGAATTACTGGCTTATTGAATGACTAAGGTGAAAATATTGTCAAATGTCAGCCCATTCCATTTTACACTTTATGAATTGCTTACCAATGGTATTTTTGTTTCTTAAAGTGGGTTAAAGCTGGAGTAAAATACATGATACCAAGTGATAGCTTATTTACTGCACTACCTTAGTAAGGACACCAGACAACAAACCACTAGTAAGGTTAACAGATAGTTTTAGCTCCCGTTTGTTTTGGATTTTGACTTGGTTATCACAAAGGTGAGTCACACTGATGAAAGGTTAACCCGTGAACTGTAAGACTATTTCAAACAGGTGCATTCACTGTAAATACTTGTTGGAACACTGCTTTGGGGAAAGTTATTTTTAACATGGAGGAGTTTTATTTCAATGCTTGGTAGAGTTCTTGTTAGAAGTTGATAATCTGATTATAATAGCACATAACCTCAAAATACCCAGCTTTGGTTTTTAGTTACCTAAGATGTTATCAAAAGAGGGGGGGTGGGGGAGGATACAGAGAAACTGAACCTCAAGGTAGGTAGTGAAGGACTGAGTAAAAGTACTAAGCCAGGGTGAACCTTCAACAGGGCATGTTTTAAACACATTAATAAAATGTTCACTTAATTTCCTTTAAGGTAAATTTAACCATAGACCAGTAAAAACAATGGTTAGAATTGTTTTCTCCCCTTTTTAAGTTCAACCATCTGACCCCTCTGCATAACATTTTAAAAGTACTATTCTAAGAGAAACAACTTCCTGTACACTTGGGTTACTATACTCACCTGGTTGTGGTCCAGTAGCAAATCTAAAATGGTTCTTGACAACTTCTAATATGGCTGCTTATTTGTGGGGTTGGTAAGTTGCGAAGGAACTCGAGTAATTAGAAATGAATCAGATATTTCACATTCAACTGGTCACATGAGTTTTCTATGAGTACTGGTGGTAGTTGGGAGCCACCTTGGAAGGCTTTAAGAATCAAGTGATTGTTTAGAATTTTAAAATATGCCATTATTTGAGGCACACTTAGTGTTTATGCTAAAATAATAGTTTGGCCGACTTGTGTGTATTGAGGCTTGGAGTTAATGTACATTTTTCACTTTTGGGTAAGTCAAAACGCATCAAAATGGAATCTATCGAGGTACCAAACATTGGACAAGATTAATGGGTTTCCGTGTTAGGTGCATTGCAGAGTACTTTACCCGTAAACATATTAGGGTATTGAATGTGAGCCTCAACCTGACTAGACCAGATCCACAGAAAGGCATGCCAGTGCCCATAAGGGCTTGTCACGTGCATCAAAGGAATTCGAGGTTAGAAAATTTAAAAAGGCCATTAAGTGGTATCCTGATAAGGACATAAATGTGTGCTTTGAGACACTTTCTGATCCACACCCATTCCACCAAGTTACATACCAAATGAAAACCATTGGCAGTTTAGCAGGTCTTGGATGGTAAGGTCAGTTACACCAGCTGTTCCACATGAGGACTTCTATATAGACATTGCTGCTGTGTATGTGGACTTTCAATTTTGAACAGATGAAGCCATTAGCTGTTGTCAGACCCATCTTAAATTGCCTATGCCCAGAGGATCTCTAAGGGGGGTGGGGGGAAGGGAGTCCTGGGGCCGAGCCAAGAGACCTCAGCAGAAGGAACTACTGATGAACTAGGTAGACTATAAGGACAAAGTTTGGACTAGCAAGTTACTGGGGAGCTATTTGGGGAAAACAAAGCTGGTTGTGAGATCCTTGAATGTTGACCCTTGGCCACATTGTACTAAATGCCTTCCAGAAGTTGTTTACCATTCAAGCTGGTTGCCAATAATGCTGAACTTTTCTCCCTAGCCCCCCACAATTCATCAGATGCTCTGCCATATCGCAGGTGCCGATAGTTTTACAAGTGGCATTGTAAATGATAAAGTTCATAAAGTGTGAAGCTGTGGTGTTCACTTGGGTACTTGAGACGTGCTCATTGAAAGTTATAATGGAAACTGGCCAAAAATTATTGTCTTAGTGCCCAGGACCTATTTAAATGGGCATTTAAAAACATGCCTTGAACTCTAGGATTATGGTATTTGGACTATCTAAGCACAAGTGATCCCCTGTATTTAAGCAATTTTGGGATTTGGGTTAGCTTTCTTTGGATTTGTTTATTGCTAAATGTTTTTTCATAACCGTCTTAATTGCTAGGTTTCCCTTCACTCAGCACACAGTGACACTTGTGTTAGTGCATGGTGGCTGCCTTAACCACTTCATTTACTGTTAGATGAGTGTGGCTAATTTCTGGGTTATGGAAATTTGCTGCTTGTTGCTGCAGTATTGTTTATAAGGCTTGTTCTGATGGACTTTGTTTTTGTGTATGAGATGAGATCTCGGTGGAGCTGCCTGCTGGTGGCTTTGAACTGCTGAGCGCGTGGCACAAAGCCACTATACCACTAGGGCTCCGTGTTCTAGACTAGAAGTCTCCAAATGGTGTGACCCACCGTTTCTTGGTTTAGAGTCACTGCACAAAACACAAACCCAGTAATACAGTGATGTGGTTGAAGGTCTCAGGAAAAAGATGAGGCTAGTTGGTCCTCAATTAGGTGGCAGGTGTGCTTGTGCTGTCATGCCCCACTCCCCGGGTGGTGGTAATACGCAAACCAAAAAAGTAATTGACCAAGTTGATTCAGATTTCAATCCCATAGGATTTGGACACTATACAGGCATAGAAATAGAAAGCCTTGCCTTCTGAGCAGCTGGTCATTTGGCAGCCCAAACATAGCCAGTACGGCACCATAGGGGTAATTTGATGTGGTCATGTTTTTACAGAAGAGTCAAGATTTCATCTTGCTTGGATCTACAACCTTTAAGGTATGTATGCCTGACCCAGTTCCACACCTGTGAAAGGGCATTGAATTACCCAAGTGTAACCCATGTATTTGAATTTTGATGCTGGCGAATATTGAAGTACAGGGAGTTCCCAATAAACTGCCTCGGAAATACAGGGAGAATGCTGAGAAGGGATGGCTAGTCTTCATCTCATGTGCTTTGGGCACGTAGCAGACCAGTCTGGAAACCGTGAATAAGGGCCTCGAGTTGCATTGGCGGCAGCTCCGAAATGGGCTCAAGTATTAACAATTGGGATGATAAAATGTTTTTGTTCTGACTCATAGCAAGTTGATTCAAGATTTAAAACTGGCTGTTTTCCTGTAATTGTTAACTACCTCAACACAACTTAGTTAACTACAGGGGAGAACTACTTTACTGGAGCAGAGAACATTTGCCTCAGAAGTACTGGTGGGGTTTAACTTCCAACTCCATAGTTCTTGAACCCAACGTGTCACCAAGACTTGGCTCTTGGCCGGTGTACTAATTACTCAATTTATCTAGATGCAGGAGAGAGCCCTGTAGGTAGCCTAGCCTTCCAGCTGTGACTAGAGATTAGTGGCACACTTCACTGTAATAGAACACTAATATTACTGTTAAGCCAAACAGGTGGTGCTGTTGTGCAAGTACAGGGCTGGTAACTTAACAAGGGTGATGGTTTAAATTCGCCAGCTCCTCTTTGGGAGTATGAGGTTATCTGCTCCCGTGAAGATTTATAGCCTTGGAAGTAAAAGGATAGGATCCAATTTGTATCAAGACTAGACAGTGGTTTTGGTGGGTGGGAGTTGGGGTTCTTTTTTCAGCATTTTGGTTTTAGGGCTGGCCAAAAGTCCAGAATTGCCCCAATGTCTGGGATACTATTGACCATAATTTGACTAAAATCTAGATCGTTGCTGCTGGGTATGTGTCATGCTGTCAGAAGGTGGATGTAAACTGCTTGTAATTTGTGTAAAAGGAAGTATGAGCTCAAATACAAAATTTATTTCCACGGAAAGCTGTAAGCATAAGAATGAATTTGCTTTTTGAAAAACCAGGACTACAATGCTGTAACAGACTACATGAAAATGTGAAGGCTACTTACATTTCAAGTCATGAAACATTTAAAATCATTTAGATATGCAGTGTAGTGTTTTTTTCCAAGTGACCACGTTAACTGGAAATTTCTACCAAAGTGGTAGTCATGTACAGTATCCATGTCCTATTTGAGTTGCATATGGGGCATTGCAGTACAGCGTGAAAAGTGGCTTCTCCCCCAAATTCCCCTGAAGTCTTACACTTTCTGTCCGTACACGGTTTAAAATGGGTGACTATAGTAGCAGTGCTTGAAGATTGAACACTATACATAAAAGTCTCAAGTCAGAAAGCTCGATTTGTCTCAGTGGTGGTGATGCAGAGCCTCGCCAGTTTCTCAGCATCAGTACTTTGTCCCGTGGGGAGGGGGTGCATCCTCAGGCTCCTCCGCTCACTTTCCCGCTTTCCCTTTCGGTTTTCCCTTTTGTGAACAGGTCACCAGTCCCTTAGGGACAATCAAGACACTTCCATCGTGGCTGCACTGAAGAGCAAACTGGTTTGGATTGACTGGCCTACCTTGGTCGTCTCTTAACTTGCTGAAGACATCAAGATAAAGATCATGCAGTTTTTGTTTCATGATAGTAATAGCTTTGTTACACTGGGCTTGCTCACTCTTCAGAGTTTCCCTCTTTGCTTGTAAGTTACACACGTCATCTTCTAGATTCAAGATTATGTCCAGCTTGCGTTTACGACAGTTCTGAGCAGCAACTTTATTTTTCCCTCTTCGTCGGATATCGCGGATAAGAGATACTTGTAAGTCTGTCAAATAATGCCCTGTTAGCATCCTGTTGAATGTATCAACAGGCATGCGGACAATTTCATCTACAGAAAAGGGAATTTGCAAAGCTTTAGCACGCCGCTCATCACGGCTTAAGTTTCTATCTGTGTCATTGAGGACCCTTATTTTCTGGGACATCCATGAAAAAGGTTCAGAAGTTGATTCTGGTATTGACTGTAAATGGTAAGTGTGGTTGTGAAGTATGTGTGGAAATGCAATTTCCTCATGGAAACCAGAATCACTCCTGTGATCCATCTGACCAACAGGCTCTAGGGAGTAGCCACCTACAGCTCCTAAATCATGATTGGAAAAAGACTCACGGTCACTGCTATAACCGACAGCCCCTTCATCATACACCAAGTGAGAGGAATTAGGCTTGGCAACAGAGGTGCTGTAGTGACTTGAATTTAAAGAAAGCCCAGAATCAGAATCTGGTGCTTCGAAAAGCGGTGAAACTTCCACTGGCTCAAAGCCTTCCATAGCCAAAGACATTAAGTTTATCTCATCAAATACTTGGTTTACGTCAAAGTCATACAGAAAGTCTTGGCTTAGATTCATTTGATTGTCAACAGGTGGGAGAAAACCTGTAAAATTGGTTCCATTTAGCGTTTGCTCGGGATTGGTAGGAAAATTTAACTGCAGAGATGACTCTTCTGGCTGTGAAGCCCTTGCTACTGGGTCTCTTCTAAACGTACGGGTGGGACACAGCAACATGGCCTCACGGAGACTCACGTCTTGGCTGATAGCGTGGCTGAGATTTACATTGTGTGTTGAGTTCATGCCATCATTGCTGCCGCTGGGGAGAGGAGTATCTGCCAGTGAGATGCCCTGCAGAATGGGGGTAAAAGGACTTTAAACATGCACATATCCTACTTCAACAGCTGTTCTATTACCTTACTACCTAACCCATATAAATAGGGATATGCTTTTGACTATTAATCCCTAATTACAATACATGATATGAGCTAAAAAAATAGCAAAAGTATGAAAACTAGTCTCGGCTATTAAAAGGACTGGGATGGCTCAACCTAATATGTCAATTCTCTATAAGTTCATCTATGGATCAAAAATCACAATCTAGGGAAAGTTTATTATAGAAATACAAAATAGGACTAATTTTAAAAGCATAAAGAACTTTTTAAGTTTAATACTTGGAAGTCGGCAAACTAAAATTTTTAGTTTGTCAAATGTTTACTGCTATTTTGCTTCAATTTGAATGGTCTAGATTATATCTTTGTGGTTATATGTAAAAAGTATGAATATTGGTTAATTCTCAAAGCGTTTTTATAAAAAAGCTGAGCCTACATGCTCAAATAATAATACGTTTACTATTAAATACTAGACAAGTATTGTTTCAACTGCTTGGTATGTCAAAGTGTAAGCATTGTGTTGACTGAGATCTAAGAGCTCTAAATGCTCTAGTTACCTCCAGCGACTGTTCAGGCTGTGATGAAAGCAAGTGAAGTAAGTCTTCCACACAAAACGGTACGTCTGCCCCATTTAGATGTCTCTGTCGAAGAACACAAGGTACATCATTCTTCAGATAAATCACATAATCTTTAAAGAGAAAAATAGGCTTTACCCTCCATGCTGGATTTGATCCCACGTTTAACATATTTAAAGGCAAAAGTCAGTATCTAGCTTCCCTATATAAGGGCCTTTAATTCCAGGCTCCTCCTCCCATATAATGTTTGGCTTATACTTTCAGTTCCACTGTATTTTGCCCCTCTATAGACCTTTCAAATTGGTTACAAAATTACATAGCTTTTTCTTTTTTATTGTAAATAATTTTATTGGGGGCTCTTACAGTTCTTATTAAAATCTATACACATCAATTTTATCAAGCACCTTTGTACATATGTTGCCTTCATCATTTTCAAAGTACTTTCTGTTTGAGCCCTTGGTATCAGCTCCTCCCCACCCCTCTCCTACCCTCATGGATTCCTGATAAATTATTTTCTTATCTTACACCACCCACGATCTCCCTTCGTCCACCTTACTGTTCATCTCCCTAGGGAGGGGGGGGCGGGGATTTGTATCATAGTAGTCGGTTCCCCATTTAACCCCCTACCTTCATGGTATCACTATTCCCATTGCCCTACATATTTGGTGTCTTAAAACAGAAATTCAGTTCTCAATTGGGAGGCCATAAATCCCAAATGCAGGCACTGGGAGGGCTGCATTCGTATGACCCTGCCTGTCCTCTTCCAGCTTCTGAGGGCTGTTGCACTCCAGCAGCCACATCAATCCTTTAAGGCCAGGGGTGTCAAACTCAAAACGAGGGCCATTTGGTGCAACAGGCAAGATTCACGTGGGCCACATCACATTTACAAATTTTGTTAAATTTATATTTTGAAGTGAGGATTCAGGAATATGGATTGGCTAATTAAAACACTCGTTTTTATTTAAACATTTAATGTATTTATAAAACAAACTTATTCATTTTTACCTGAAACTTGCCAGTGCTTTCCTCCCACTAGCTTTCACTTACCTCTTACGTTGTGACCGGAAAATATAACAAAGTAATAATTGTTGGACAGCTGACAAGCGTGATGCACAATCGTAATGGCTTCCCTCTAAAAATGTTAACTAGCGCTGCTGCTAGGTATGATTTATAACAGCACAACCCAGAGTGCTCTTATTAACTTTTTTGCTATGGGGATCTGTTTACATTACGTGGCACAGAGTGGCGGACATATCACTTCCAAATGTTGCCGGAGCTGAGTGCATGTTTATCCAAGTCCACAGGCCCCCGGGAAAGTCATTGGTTTCCGTGTCTACTCATCTTCAGTAGTTAAAGCGCTAATGGAATTGTGTGTACGATATTGCCTCGATCTCCCGTAAGTGCTATTTTCTTCATAACAGAATTTTCTATTTTTATTTTATTTCAGAGCATTGCGAGCCACAATAAAATCTCGGGGGCTGCATGCGCCCGCGGGCCACCAGTTTGACACCCCTGCTCTAGGTCATCATCTCTGTGCCTCCAATCTAATCCGTCTTTTAAGGATATCTGTCATTGGATATAGGGCCCATCTGGATAATCCAGGATGATGTCACCTAAAGATCCTTAAATGTACTGGTAAAGCCTTTTTTCCCCAAATAAGGTCACTCACACAGATTCTGAGAAGGTATATCTTTGGGGGGAATGTGGGGACACCACTTACCCCACTGAGGCGTTGGGTTGCACTTATGCACCCAGCTTCTAACCAGAAGGTTGTCGATTAGCACCCAGCCAGTGGCTCCATGGGATAAAGACCAAGAGATGCTTCACAAAATGACATGCTATGGGGCAATTCTACTGTGTCACATGGGATCATTATGAGTTAGCATCAACTGGACAGCTATAACCAACACTTTTCCACCCCAAGGTTTATCTTTCTCTGCCTCTTCACTATTGAGTAGGGAGATAAGACATTGAGTGGTCAAGGATGTGGTCCCCTAGGCTTGTCCTTTGTCTGGTTCCGTGGACCCCCAATGGTTTCCTTTAGCTGGGGGAGACTGAGAATTTGGGTTCAAGTCCTAGGAGTTGTATCCCGGGATCTCTGCTCTCATCCCCAGGCTTGGCTGCTCTTGAGATAGCTGGTTGAGGAGTGTTGGGTTGGGGATGTCAGTCCTCTCTCCTTTTCTGTAGCAAACACAACTCATGAAACCAGTTGGAAAGTTCCTAGGGATATGATTACTTAATACTAGGCTTACAGATAGTTTTTACATACCTATATCCATGAACACAAAACTGCACGTTTTCTTAAACAATTAAAATTAAAAATGAAACAATATTTAACCATACAACATTTGAGATAAAGGGTTCAATGTAAGGGTTGCTTGGGTCGGTCAATATAACAATCTGCTGCTTTCTTTGTCTTTACATTTGATGTTTAGTTTCTAAGAACTCTACTATGTTTATTACTGAAATAATGCTTCACGAATGAAACTGATTTACTGGGATTAACACTATATTTGGGACTCTGTAGATAAAGGTATCTGTTGAGATAGGTATACCACAAAGAAAATTTTGAGATTAGAAGGCTTAGAAGAAAATAAATTTGGATGTTTGTCTCGTGAAATGGATAAAAGTTAGGAAGTAAATGTATACAGTTTCTGTAATTTTCATTGAGGAAATAAAAATGTGTCCAAATGGACATGTCCTTTAAGTCGAGAGTTAAATGCAACTAAATTCTATGGGTGGATGCCACATTAAAAATGTGTTTCGTATAATAGGGCACATTGACGTGCAAAATTCATTCACAACTCACGTGGTGAAAGCCAAATGTCCACCACGCTTGCTTACCTCGTTCCTTGATTCGGAGGGCTTTCCTGCCTCCCAGTCAGGTCTGTGTGCTGTGTTACTTTCAACTTCCAACACCCTCTGTCCACCTTCATGCTGGGAACCGTAACCCACAGCTTCACGCCCTTCTCTCAGAACCTGTATTTCCTAAAAAAGTTGCAGAAAATATGCAAACTAGAAATCCCATTTCATCAAACACGTAAAAAAGCCTTTACAACTGCATTGTACATGCTACTCAGCCTTTATAAAATTTACAAGTCAACACTATATTCCTCTGGTTCCTTGAGGCTTCCTCACCCCCCACTGCCATGACCCCAGTGCTGCTTCCCAGTTCAGACTAGACCGGAGCATGTACACAGGTGTAGAAAGGGATGGGCGCGCACGACACAGAATCCAGGAGTGGGAATGGTGACGCCGGAAGGGGAGGGGGAGAGGAAGGGAGAAAGGGGGAAACCGATCACGATGATCGACACATAGCCATACACCCCTCTATAGGGGGAGGACAACAGAAAACATGGGGGAAGAGAGAGAGCGGCAGTGTGAGGGATGAAGATAATCACAATGTACAAGCTGGTACCCAGGGCTCAATAGAAAGTCAATGTCTAGACGAGAATGAGGGCAACATATGTACAAACATTGTGATCAGTTCTATTTCCCTATGTACAAACACGCCTGATTCAACTGATGCATGGATTGTGATGAGTTGTACGAGCCCCCAATAAAATGATTAAAAATTTACAAGTCAAGGTGAAACACCAATGATCGAAATAGATCTATGTACATATATTTATATGGTAAGTATGAAGGCAACAGATGAACATTGGTCCTCTACTCAAGTACTCCCGCAATGCAAGAACACTTTGTTCAAATAACCCTCCCTCAATGCAAGAACACTTTGTTCAAATAACCCTCCCTCAATGCAAGAACACTTTGTTCAAATAACCCTGCATTCTGAGATACCTTCCCTATATGATAGCCTAAGACAAAATGGGTGCATAAGCAAATGCAGTGAAGAAAGCTGATGGTGCCCAGCTATCAAAAGATATAGTGTCTGGAGTCTTAGTGGCTTGAAGATAAACAAGCGGCCATCTAGCTGAAAGCAACAAAGCCCACATGGGAGAAGCACACCAGCCTGTGTGATCACGAGGTGTCAATGGGATCAGGTACCAGGCATCAAAGACCAATGTGGTAGTTATATATTTGTCCATTTGAGAGGATTAAGAGTGAAGGAGTGGAGTCTAGTCTGTCAATCGGATCATAGCCAATGAGGCTTCCGTGTGGGCATGGCCTTCTGAGAATTCTGGTACTTCCTCCTTGGAGGTGGAAGACTCTCTGCTCCTGCCCTGGGAGTCATAGCAGGTGACAAGACACATGGACCCACCCTGATGCAGAGACCCCTGCCAGTGCTGGGATGTTTTCAGTGACACTGGATCCAAAGACTTTCTACCCACTGGCCTGTGATCTTCTACATTCAGCATCATTGCATGTGTTTCGTGAGTCTTCAGAGGACTTTATAGATTGGTATCAGACATATGGGCTAATATAGGACTTATGGATTTGATCTGGACTGGGATGTTTTCTCAATGTTCAATTGCTCTTGTATATAAATCTCTTTCTTGTACACATGTGTGTTCATGGATTTGTTTCTCTAGTCTACCCAGACTAACACAATCCAGAAGAAAAAAATCACATCAATGTGAATGAGGGAGAGTTCAGAGTGGAGACCCAAAGCCCATCTGTAGACAATTGGACACCCCCTTACAGAAGGGGGTCACAAGGAAGAGATGAGCCAGTCAGGGTGCAGTATAGCACTAGTTCTTTAATGCTTTCTCCCTCTCACTATCATGACCCTAATTCTACCTTACAAATCCGGCTAGACCAGATATATACTGGTACAGATAAAAGCTGGAAACACAGGGAATCCAGGACAGATAAACCCCTCAGGACTAATAATGAGAGTAGCAATACCAGGAGGGGAAGGGGAAGGTGGGGGGAAAGAGGGAGAACAGATCACAATGATCTGCATATAATCCCCTTCCTGGGGGACTGACAACAGAAAAGTGGGTGAAGGGAGACAGCAGTTGGTGTAAGGGATGGAAAATTTTTTTTTCATAAATTATCAAAGGTTCATGAGGGAAGGAGGGTGGAATGTTCTAAAATTGATATGGTAATGATTGTACAATTCTTGATACGATCAAACGACTGAACTATTCAATTGTATAATATGTAAATTATCTGCCAATACTGTTAAAAAAAGTGGGATGGTTATGGACAATGGATCATAATGAGTTGGCTTCCATTTCCTGCACTTCTATCTTGTTTGCATACAACAAACATATATTCCTTTAAAAGTCAGGGAAAAGGCAAACATGTTTACTTTGAAAAAGAAACCAACGCACTAACATCTCCACAGATATTTTCAATGCGGCTAAATTTGCCCAGGTGACTTCTCTCCCTGTTTAATTTATCTCAGCAAAGCCGAAAACGCCTAGGGGTGTTTCCTAGACACTCAAATCGTCACTGTTGAGCATGCACACACTGGACTACTTCCAGGACAGCACCATCCCCTCTCCTCTAAGCACAGAAATGCTAATGTGAAGGTCAAATGAATTGGAACTCTAGGCAGGAAGCAGAGAGAGGTGTCAAAGCACAAGAGGAGAAAGGCAACTGCCCTCCTGGCAGCCCACTGGGTTTGGTTTCTCTGGTAGGTATCTCCAGCTGACGTTGGGGCAGTAGTGGCTCAGTGGGAGAATTCTTGCCTTCCTTGTGGGGGCCCCAGGCTTGATTCCCAGCCAAGCATCTTGGGCACAGCCACCAAGCATCTGTCAGTGGAAGCTTGAGAGTTGTCATGGTATTGAAAAGGTTCCACATTCTGATCCTGCATTATAACCTGCAGCTTCCTGAATAAACTCCTTAGTGGTGAGTAATGTCTGTGAGCTCTTGTGTGGCCAATGCAATGACATTTTGAACCCATTATAGAAGTGAAGGAGCCCTGGTAGCATAGTGGTTATGAGTTGGGCTGCAATCCACAAAGTCGGCAGTTCAAAACCACCAGCCAGCTCCACGGGAGAATAAGGGGCTACCTTTCTACTCCCTGGAACAGTTACAGTCTCAGAAATTCACAGGGCGCAGTTCCGTCCTCGGGTTGCTGAGTCTGTACTGACTCGATGGCAGGAAGTTTGGTTTTGTGCTTATTCGAGAAATATAGCTTGCCCTGGGAGGGTCCACTGCAGTCAGAATTGATAAAAAGTTTTGAGTGGGAGGCGTGTATGACTTACACCTCAGAGGAATCAGCCTGGGGCTGAGGATCTTGAGCCCCCTCCTCCTGTCTTGTGACATAAGAGGAGGGAGGTCAGATGACACTCCCATCCGTTTTCACAAATGGGCTTTTGAAAGTATTTGTTGGAGAAATACAGTGAAAAGATAATAGATTTGCCACAAAGTCCCACTAGAACGTTAGCTGTCTTGACGACCGTGACTCTGTCATGTCTACCACTGTTGTCCACTCTCTCCCACCAAACAAACAAAGAAGCTCACCGCCATTGAGTCAATGCCAATTCATAGCGGCCCCTGTAGGTTTCTGACACGTTAACTGTTTATGGGAGGGAGTAAAAGGCTGTCTTTCTCCTGAGCAGCTGGCTGGTGGCTTCCAACTGCCAGCCATGTGTATGGCAGCCAAATTGTAATCACTACGCCACCAGGGCTCCCTACCTAGCTGGCATACGGCAGACCTTTAATAAATAGGTGTTGAATAGGAGAGCAACTGACCCAATTCCCAAGACATTGGTAGGGCTACTTCTAGAGGGGTGGGGTCTTGTTTTTTCCTGCAATGATAATGCTGATTACTACCTGGATTTTAAGAAGGAATCCATTCTTAACACTTCATCTTTTGTCAACGCAAAGTTTCTTTTGTTAAACCTGAAAATCAAATTTAAAACAATAGATGGACATTGGGCCCCCACTCAAGTTACTCCCTCAATGCAAGAACACTTTGTTCTATTAAATTGGCATTCCATGATGCTTACCTTCCCAACATGATTGATGAAGAAAAATGTGTGCATAAGCAAACGTAATGAAGAAAGCTGATGGTGCCCAGCTATCAAAAGATATAGTATTTGGGGTCTTAAAGGCTTGAAAGTAAACAAGCGACCATATAGCTCAGAAGTAACAAAGACCACATGGAAGAAGCACACCAACCTATGTGATCACGATGTGTGGAAGGGATCAGGTATCAGGCATCAAAGAACAAAAAATCGTATCATTGTGAATGAGAGAGAGTGCAGATTGGGGACCCAAAACCCATCTGTAGGCAACTGGACATCCTTTACAGAAGGGTCACAGAGGAGACGAGCCAGTTGGTGCGATGTAGCAATGATGAAACATATCACTTTCCTCTAGTTCTGAAATGCTACCCACCCCCCACTATGCTGATCCCAATTCTACCTTACAAATCCAGCTAGACCAGAGGATGTACACTGGTACAGATAGGAACTGGAAACACAAGGAATCCAGGACGGAAGATCCCTTCAGGACCAGTGGTGAAAGTGGCGATACTGGGAGGTGGAGGGAAGGTAGGGTAGAAAAGGGGAACAGATTACAGGGATCTACATATAACCTCCTCTCTGGGGGACGGACAACAGAAAAGTGGGTGAAGGGAGACACCAGCCAGTGTAAGACATGACAAAATAATAATTTATAAATTATCAAGGGTTCATGAGGGAAGGAGTGGTGGGGTGGGAGGGAGAAAAGTGAGCTGATCCAAAGGCTCAAGTAGAAAGCAATGTTTTGAGAATGATGAGGGCAACAAATGTATAAATGTGCTTGACACAATGGATGTATGTGTGGATTGTGATAAGTGTTGTATGAGCCCTCAATAAAATGACTTTTAAAAAATTTAAAATAGACTCCTGAGGCAGCTAACTTGGTTTGCAAATTTGCTTTTGGTGGGTGAAGGAACTTTTGATCTGTCACATGGTATGATTTACAGCAGTGGTTCTCAACCTGTGGGTCTTGACCCCTTTGGGGGGTCGAATGACCCTTTCACTGGGGTCACTTAATACATCCTGCATATCAGATATTTAAATTACAATTCCTAACAGTAGCGAAATCACAGTGATGAAGTAGCAACAAAAATAACTTTATGGTTG